TGTGTGTGTGTGTGTATGTGTGTGTGTGTGTGTGTGTGTGTGTGTGTGTGTGTGTGTTTATCTCGCGATGATCATCGTATTGACTCTCACGCCGTTGACGCTGTTCGCGGGTGATGTTCGCATGCAGGGTCATCAGGCGGCCGGACCGACGCCGTGGCCGCTGCCGCAGTACATCACGACAGCAGCTGACATCGTCACGCTCGATCCGGCGCGATTCGAATTCAGCGCCGACCTCGGATGCGACGTTCTCGAGCGCGCCTTCAGCAGATACAAGAAGCTGCTGTTCTTCCGCCTACAGGTACGTGTATAGGTCTGATTCGCGCAGCGCGGCGAGCCTTTGAAGCCTATTCCCGGTTTTTTTAGTTGTTGGGTGTTACGACCTCTAATTGATATGTAGATGATCAAATATCACAAGTCGTGCATATATCTAATATATATATATATACATATATATATATATATATATATATATATATATATATATATATCCGGGTTTACAGACTATATACTGTAGTCAGAAAAGCTGTCACCTTTGATTTGGTTCAGTTGCTATGGTTATTTTACTACACACTTGACTTGGTTCTATGGTTTTTGTTAGCACATTTTCCAGAAGGCCGATTCAATCCGTAAATTTTGTGAAAATTTTCGCTCTAGATTATCTGTCCTAGTATTTTTAACGAGTGATTTTGTACGAGATTTATGGCTAAATTTATTCATTTGCAGAAATTACAGAGTTATTTACATTTATCACAGTTTCCCATTTTGAATTTTCGATTTTTTTTATTCATTTGTCAACTTTTTCACGTTTATATTGTATCGTATCATCTAACGAATTCACGCCATTAAGTGTATCGTTTTCTGCTAAAAGCACCTGATGTTGTAACTCGACGACGTCTCTATAATAACTAAAAAATCGATTCGGGTTTTCTTTGAACTTATTGCCTTTTGTTGTTGGGTTGTTTAACGATCGCTGTTTTGCTAACATTGGTTTGGTCCCATTTCTACCACACTCGACCGCATGCATTTCCCATGCTGAGCGGTGTATACATTTAACATTGTAGAACCGTTTTTTCCTACCGTTTCCATTTTGACAATGCACTGTTCTTGACGTAAAGCGTGTTCATGAATATGACCATGATTTCGTTCCGACAATGTAACAGGATTACCAGCTATGACGAACCCACTATAGTAACAATAACAAAACTATGATGTGTGCGTTCATGAAAATACACTGTCTATAATAATAATGAGAGTTATGTAATGGCGATATGTAAAAGGCTGTGCATTACGCCTATCGAGCCTTGTTCACGAGACAGCAATGCTATCAATCCATAGTTTCGAGTAGACCTTACCCGACTGTACATTACAGGTTGGCTACGCAAGCTTGCTATCGATTATGCATCATCTAACATATAATCGATTTCGAACTCGGTTGCAATTGAATATTTGCGATTTCAATAAACCGCGGTCTCGGTTCTTCGAGGAGATCGTAAACCGATGCGCGTTGACCATAGCGTAATGGCGTCGTCAAATCATCGCTGTTTTGATAAAATCGAGGGAGATAGGTTCGGTAGCCTAGGAGGCGGGTGATACTCAAAGCTCAAGTAAATACACTACGTGCCGGAGTACTTTCTCGTAGCACAATTGTCGAGAGGTGTCGAGCGTGTCGGATTTAACATCCGTCCGTCGGATCCCGGCTTCCATTCGCCCGACCTCTGAGGGTTTGTTAATCGTATGCAACCAGAAAAAAAGGTAGTGACGTAGGGTTAGAGTTCCTTGACTTATTGGCGTAGTTATCTTGTATGACATAGTTGACTTGTGGGTGTAAAAAAGGGGGCGGACGCATGACCAGATTCGCCTCATTCGCTCGGTTTAATAGCCACACTCGACACTTTTATATTAGTGTACGAATGTCTCACGTTTCTAGACGGCCATAAAGGATCTATAAAACATTCCCGACGGTGAGACCTTGTTCGAGATAACCCCCCCCCCAAACACATGCGCTTAGTTTTATTTACTTCTAGCTATATTACTCTTTTTCCCCAAGCTTGTGATTTATTGCATTTAGATTACGTCTGCCTCTGGATAAATCGTTTACATTTTAGTGTGATTTGTCTTTCCCGGTTTTGCGAGGCCGTTTTCGGAGTAAAGTGGAAACTAGCTTCCGCAACGGCTGCCATTTTACCATACTTGGCATGAGGCGTTATGGGATTTACTGACTAGTTAAAGGTTCATCCAGCAGATAAGTCAAACTTGTCCGCGAATAACTAACCAACGGACTGTTTATTTGCCATCGCTATAACCCAATGAAACGTCTAGAAGGTAGACTTGAGAAAGACGATTTTTAAAATAAAATTTTCGACTATGCGGACCATGTGTAAATACAATAACATAAATACATAATATATACAATAAACATTTTTTAAAGTCGCCTGCAAACGATCTACAATATTTTACCGTATCGACGCAACTAATGTCTTTTGCGATGATGCATTTTTCAATAACCTCCGCCCGTATTATCACATTTGCACGAGTGGCAACACTAGCGTAAATATCAACCGAATAGCAATTGCAATATAAAGGAAGTTAGGCACAACAAAAATGCAAGCACTGTGAGACGTTTTTGTCCCGTAAACGGAATGCAAATACAGCACAAAACGCGCACTGGTCACTAAATAACTGCCTGAACAAATTCAGCATGTATGAATGCAATCTTCTAAAAATCACTCTCCTCGGAAAAAAATTGCGTCATTTCACACATCTTGTGAGAGCGCCTCTGAATATCTTTAGAAGATTTCACGCTGCCAGCGTGCGATATACGTACATATTTCATCACTGCAAATGTCTGTGTAGACTCGGCGCTAAAATATATATACTTACATAATGGGAACGCTAGTGTCAAACTGAATGTATATCACTTCAGAGCACGTCGATTTTGAGCGTGTGTTCGCATATTTTCTGCTGCGTCACTCAAAAGTAGTTTTCTGTAGCCTCTTTGTAAAACGTGCGATTGATCGGTCTGCTTTTAACTTGCCAAATTTGTAGTGATAAATTTTTATTATTATAGCATTAATTATTCAATACGCTATTCGCATTTTCTCGCACGCTTGCCGAATTAGATTTTAATTACATTAAAATTATCTCGTATTTAAGAGGTATACATTTGGTAGATATGCATGATTAGTGTCCACTGATTAGTGACCAAACGGTGTTAACGAAGCCAATGAAGAAAGATAAAAAGGCAAGCGTTAGTCTACGCTTACTCATGTATCGCATATCATGTATAATCATCACGTATAATTATGGTGTATCATCATATCAATTTATCGCATATGATCTCAGTATAAATAGTGCAGTCGTAGAATCGAAATTTACGCATGCAGATAATCCGGTCGCATCTATAGTGGTAATAATCATTGATTGGCCGCATTAAGATAAAATTAAATGTTTTCTAATTAAATTATGAAATATTACACGCACACAATTGATTGCTGTATTTACAGTCTGTGGTTAGATTACTGACGTACGGTCGACTGGCGCGGGACATTATGCTACCAACGCATGCGATCTATACCTTCTTCATAGTTTATCATTGTAAACTATTTGTGAGAATGACAAAATATTATATATATATATATATATATATATATATATATATATATATATATATATAGGCACGAAACAAGCCAGATACCATGGCCGATCGCGCCTTCAATACACCACCAATAACACTGTAGCACTTGCTAATGCAATTCCACCGAGAAGCATAAATCTGCACTCTCGGCAGAAGTCGTATTCTTGCGAACACTCGTGAAGCACCACCAGTCTCACGGCGTTACCAGCATTGCATAACTTACGAATATGTGTTGCTGGTTGTTGTCATATCCACAGTAAAAAATCTGGGTCACGATAAACTGTATAAATGATTAAATAAAATGTTAACACTTCACTGATCATCTGGGCGGCAAATTTTGATTGCCTTTGTTCAGGAACATTAACCGTAATGATCTGTTTGTCGATTAACTTTCCGGCTAGTAGAATTCTGAAACTTTCGGAATGTTAGAGTTCGCACCTCATAGTTTTAATACAGATATGTGCACACCGAAACCTAACGAATGGATATGGAATAACGCATGCGTGCGTGGCGAATGATACGAGTAGCCAGAGTGGTTGTTGTCAAAATGTCAACATATCGTTCGTTACGTTAATGTTAAACACACACGCGCGCATGCGCGCGCACACACACACACACACACACACACACACACACACACACACACACGCACACGCACACGCGCACACGCACACGCGCACACGCACGCATGCATGCAGACGTGCTATACTCTTGCTATAGCATATTGTTTTTCGGTTATCGGTGCTCTACGCTCATTATTTATATCATTAATGCTTATACCTACGCAGACTCGTACTAATAGCTATTAGCAGTGACGTACGCGAAGATATTATCCGTAATTGTATAATTAATATAATAATATCGTGAGGAGTAAGTCTATTACGTGCGTACTATTAGCTGATGACTAGGGATCGTCTCTGGGCACACTTTACATCTATTCATAGCGGTGGCTTGTTCTGACGAAGGCACTATCGATCTATGGTTTTCCGATCATGAGACAGCATGCAGCTGTCACTTTATTGGAGGCGTATTGATCTCTTGCTGAACACGAGCTACATAAACAACCATTAACATGTCAAAAGGCCGAAGCTCTTCTAAATACTTTTGTGTCATCCAGATATCGACGCGTTCTGCTCGTTCACTATACTGGAAACTATGATAACGTGAACGCATTGGAATTTGTAGGTTGAACAGACGAACAGGCGGCGCGACGTGAACGAGCACCCGCTAAAACGACGCAACGCGGAATTGCAAAACGTTTTTCACCTTTTATGTATGATTGTATTGCGATGCACGCGCCTGCTATACTCTTACTCTACTGTTCTGTTAATCGCCATGGTTACTCAACGGTTGCGCCATTTTGCTTTTATCCGTCAGGATGTCGAATCCGCGAATTAAACGGTTCATGAAGAAGAACAAGCTAAAGAAATACAAGGACCTGCAGCAGATGTACGCGACTAAATTGATGAAGATCGTGTCCCGGCTCAAAATGAAGTACATCGTGTGGCAGGATCCACTCGATGAAGGAGCCAAGGTATCGTTTCTCACGGCAAGACAACGTGGTCTGGAAAACGTACCGATGTATTTACAAAATACAGACAATAGTGCGATGCGAATTCCCTGCGCACGCACACGCGCACGCACGCACGAACGCGCGAACGAACGAACGAACCAACAAACACACGCATGCACGCACGCTCGCATGCACGCGGGAACCTATTCTTACCTATACTTACTTAGCAAATAAGCATAATGCGGCGCAAAGCATGCAATTATATTTGCGAGTCCAAACGTGTCCTTTCAGGTTAGTAAGGATGCTATCGTCGAAGTATGGAAGAACATTCAGAACATCGCTAGTGTCGTCGAGATGGGGTACACCACGATCACGTCTGCCGGGTGGTATTTAGACGACATTGGCAACAAGGACGACTGGCAATCGTTTTACGCCAACGAACCATATAACTATATAAGTAAGTTTTGGCAGTCGTACTTATACGGTATAATATAGCGGAGTTTAGAAGCACTTTTTTCGAATTTCTTAGATTGTGGGATTCTCTGAACGACATATAGTCGAGCGTCACTTTTATGTTTGTTTCAGAACCAGAGCACCAGCCTTTAGTTGTCGGTGGCGAGGCATGTTTATGGGCTGAGTACGTAGATGAGACGAATCATCATTCTCGGCTATGGTAAGTTAGTTCGTCTGCCACAAGGATGTATGGTGAACGCTGTTGGCGACTTTTAACCGACTGAAATACCCGCCATGTTGGGCATCCACCATGTTAAGCTGTGGACACACTACGCGATTTTTCATGCGATCGAGCCGGCCGGCTCAGTCGGGCGACTCTGTGGACACACTACGCGACTGAGTCGGGCGACTCTGTGGATTTTCAGCACGCTGATTGGCTGATGAATTGTACAATCGGCCGACTCGATCGCAGACCCGGGCACACTAGGCAATTGCAGCCGCGCGACTCAAATAATTATCAAACATGTTTGAATCGGGCGACTCGGCCGGCCGACTCGAAAATCGATGCGACTCACTGGACACACTACGCGATATTTCATGCGATCGAGCCGGCCGGCTCGGTCGGCCGACTCGATCGCATGAAATATCGCCTAGTGTGTCCACCCCTTTAGGCAAATGGAGGATCGGGTCCTCATTATAGGCAACTGACCTTCGAATTATCAGCGACAAAACAAACAGGAAGGTTTATTTTTTACAATTACATAACGATAGCCATTCAAAATGAATCCCGTAGAGGGTCTATATCTAAGCAGTGCTGTAGCAGAATACATCAATGCGGCTCTAAGTATAGAGAAACCCGAGTTAGGAAAACACCGCGCAAGCAGGAAACAGGAGAGTGCGTATATAGGCCGAATATGTTTATATTTACCAAGTCGTATAACGGTGGAAAGTTAAAAGGATATTTACTGTATACGTTGTTTATTATGAAAACATTTCTTCCGCGATAGCTGCACGATTGTGTCTTAGTAACGTGTATAGAAACCTGATATCTCACGCTTCTCAAACTCTAATTCAACGAGGGTTTTTTTTCGGAATTGTTGACTAATCGAATGCGACATGAGTGTGCAGAATGAAGTCGAGTCGAGCGCTGTCTGCGATGTAGCAATCATCAATATAATGTTAATGTAAATGTGAATGACATCGTTTGTGTTCAGGCCGAGAGCGTCGGCCGTGGCTGAGCGGCTATGGAGCGACATGGCGGCGACTCAGAATATCGCTGACGCTACGTACAGGATCGATGACATGAGATGCATGCTATTAAGGTAAACCAATCGTCGCTATATTATATATATATAATTATATATATATATGTGTGTGTGTGTGTGTGTGTGTGTGTGCGTGCGTGCGTGCGTGCGTGCGTGCGTGCGTGCGCGCGTACGTGCGTGCGTGCGTGCGTGTGTGTATCACGGGACAGATATAGGCTTACGTATATCGCACGTCATGCGCCGCCACTCATCTCGTATTACATGTCATTATTACATGTCATTACGTACATATATTCGTGCCATGTGTCATTTCATATATCATATTTATACATGTAGTGTGCGCCATGTCTCACGTTGAGCTTGGATAAGAAACTGCGACTCTACCTTAACACACACTCACCTGTTGCCTGACCTGCGCACCATTAATCATTTCGTATACGTAACCTAATTAATTTACATTCGTTGTATGAGAATGTACACATGATGTGGCACAATCGCGATAAAGGTAAACCAATCGTCGCTATATATATGTGTATGTGCGTGCTGCGTCGCGTTGCGGAAGTGTGCTGCTGTGTGCTGCGTGCGTGCGTGTGTGCGTGCGTGCGTGTGTGTATCACGGGACGATATATAGGCTTACGGATATCGCACGTCATGCGCCGCCACTCATCTCGTATTACATGTCATTATTACATGTCATACGTCATATATTCGTGTCATGTTTCATATATCATATACTATACATAGTGTGCCGCCATGTCTCACGTGAGCTGGGATAAGAAATGCGACTCTACCCTTACACACACTCACCTGTTGCCTGACCTGCGCACCATTAATCATATATTTCGTAAACGTGACCTAATTCATTTACATTCGTTGGATAAGCACGTACACACGATGTGGGGCTGACGCACTTATGAAGTACGAGGCTCGACATGCGCTTGCACTCGGTCTATATATGAAGATGCATGACGTACGACCGACACAAGGCGGGTGATCGCGCGCGCGTGCGTGTGTACGTGCGTGTGCGTGCGAGTTTGTGTATATGACCTGTGCGTGATGTATGTGCCGTCATCGTAGAAAGTACGACTTATGCTACGATGAAAAAATTTACTTTGATACAATGGATTGAGTTTTTACCGAGATGAATTCCGAAAGTTCGTACCATATTCTCGAAATGCGCCGAAGGATTAACTATATATATGCGGTGATATTACTTTACAATAATTTATCTCTACGTCCGCCCTTTTATTCTGATTCCACGGGCGACACATTTCTGTTCCCTGCGTTTTGGTTTCGCCTGTCTTCATTCTTCTTCATCACTCACAGGCGCGATAAATTCGTTTACCTCTACTACCCGTGTTTATTTTTTTTTACATTTTTGACCGTGTTTCTCTTTTTTTATATTTCAACACCTAATACATTCATTCATTCATCCTTCCCTTAATTATTCTGATCTCTCTCTCTCTCTCTCTCTCTCCATCCACAGAAGAGGCATTCCGGCTCAACCAATCGCTCCCGGTTATTGCGACTACGACCTTCCCGACGAGGAAGTTAAAGACGTCGACGACGACGACGACGTCGGCGACAAGTCCGACAACGGCGGCGTCTACGTGCCGACGAGAGCGCAACTCCGGACGCGCATTATGAAGACGATAGGCTTCAACTTCCTCGGCTCGCAGGCGATGCTGCTATACGGCGCCTGTCTGCTGGTGCTGGCGTTCCTCATGGCCAGGTCGAAGTGCATGCATGTCACAAACAGCATCGTGTTGCACTTAAATCCGCAGCTGGGTCGATAGCGACGCGCGAGCCGGGGCCGACCGAGACGACAGGCCGATACGCGGGCCGGGGGGCAATTAGAATTGCGTCAGAGTCAAAATGCAAAGCGCGCAATTAAAGTCGGGCAATGAGTTTGAGTGACGGTTTCGGTTAATTAGATCTGATGGCTAACGACAGCCGAGCGCAATGAAATTATGCGTTTGAACGAGAGCGCTAGACGATGGGAAATCTTAAGAATGGTTGCTAACGACCGTTGGATACTCATATACGTTCGTTGCCAGAATGTTGCGCATGTTTGCGTCACATTTATATAAGCAATTGTGAGGACGGATCGGGCTAAATGTAAAGTACGTACACAGTAGTGTGCGAAAGAAAAATAAAATAAAATTCTGTATATATAATTAACGCGAATAACAGGCCGATCGCACACGATATAATAATAGGTTTAATGTAAGTAAGTAAATTTAGTATTGATGATTAAATCCGTAACAGACGCCTGGTCTGTCAATCACGTGTAGAAATGACAACACAAAGGTTTCCCTTCCTCATCCCTCTCTTCCATCCGGTGTCTTTGACTAGCATTCACTCACGCTCTCCCGCTCTACCCCTCTCGCTGTCTTTAACAACATACTCTTGTATTCTCTAATCGCCTCCTCCACGGAGGCTTTTGTAACACGCGCACGATTATATTAATACTAGAAATTGCTGTTCCTATAAGTCTATACCCGAAATATTGTCTGTTGCTCAAGAGATGGGTTTACGATTAGTACAGTTATTCTACAAATCTTCTAATAACTGTGTACACAAATGTAAATTAGGATTCTACACAATTACAATGAAATACAATTCCCTGCAGCTATTTATCCCTTCTGTTCTTAGTCTTAGAGATTCCGCAAGTATATGCCCCTATCTTATGGCAGCAAATGGTTTTTAAGTACTGCATACGAATGCTTTTTAAAAGGCCTATTGTTCTTCATCGAAATTAGATTTATTTCCTCAGTTTCGTGTTTGAGCCTCCAAATTTCGATGACGTAAAGGTGATGACGTAATTGTACGGAACGCTAGCAACGTACCCGGAATGATTGTCGTTGATCTCACCTATTAAATGCTGCATGCACGCATATTCCGGGCACGTATCACCATGTAAATGTGATGGCAGAGCTAACATTAAATTATTGGGTGGCTTGTATATTATCATTCCCGCATTTGTATACCAGATGATCATTCTTCCATAAAGGTGGTTTTTGCGTTGTCGGTCGCAGACTAGATCGTTCTAGGTCGTATGTAAATTGTGTTTCTATTGCCGTTATCAACTATCTCACTGTGATGATTGTATGCGTGTACTGGAACACCGACGTAGAATATCTAGTGTACACGAGCGCTACCATATTTCTGCATAAATGCAAGAGTGAATGCGAATACAGGTGTGGACAACGGTGGTGAGATATTTGTTCTAGGTCGCGCGTCTGAATACGGTCTTGTTACGAGTTAAGTTTACCACGTATACTATATTCAACGTTATACCTGAAAATAAAACTATAATAGGTAAATAGCATATATCATAAAGCAGCACGTGGTGTAATTACACTATAACCCGGTAGTGGCTAAATGCTCTCACACAAATTTTTGCAGTTATTTTAACCAAGATTTTGGAGTGGGATCGCTTATTTATAAGCATGCGTGCGATCCCGCCGGAGATGAATATTTTTGTCATAAATAATGATAAATATCCCTCAATAACACAGAATAATGCTTTCTCCGATTTCCCTTTGTTTTGTAGCCGATTTAAATCGTGGTAGGAATGATCGAGTACCACTGGTTGATTAATCTTGCCAATTATATGGAACGTCGACGTACATGTTTATGGAAATTCATTCGCGTCTAATGACGTTCTAATATAGCATTTAAAAGTGCATTACTCTTTAAAAGCTAATAAATACACGAATACGCAAGCAGTTAGCAGGCATACGAACTTGCAGAGTAAACATATTGCATAGTGCTGATATGCTTTACGAATGAATATATGCAATACATCTGTGATGTAGACGTGCAAACATTTTAGTCACCTTTTAAAATTCTATTTCAGCACTCATTGAGCCATTAAATGGACATCAATTTTAGGCAGCAATGGAGAGATAAAATAGGGTGAGAACCCAATGAGCATGCACGTATTGAAAGAGTTGTAAATACGCATTTTTGAAAAGTACTAAACGACATTGTATATTCTATTGATATGCATCAAACTATAGGTGTTGTAGCCGCGTTCGGGTTTATATTTAAATGATCGTTATTTATACCTGATTCAGCGGCTTGAATCTCACCGACCGTGTGTTTGACAAGTGAACACCTATGGGTAGCGTTAGTAGAGCATGCAGTCGCTATTCGTACACGTATCTACGTTATACAACTCGTTATATTGTTTTAAAAAATAAGCGCGTTAATTTGTATTTCTGACGTGTATATATTCGCTAACATAAATGGCACGGTTATTTTTGTTCGGTCGGTGAGGCATCATGCGTTTATATTGCGTTGACATCGCTGCCAATGTGCTAGATGCAATCAACGAGTTGCGCTTATCTAGCTACTTGGTTATTATTAGGGTTAGGCTCGGGACTTCATTGAGGTCACCTTCAAATAATTGATGTACGCGCTGTGCGCACAATGCCTTCCAAGGCTAACATCTGATTGCGTTGTCCCCGTTTTTATGTCGGATACACGAAGACACAAATTAACGCGGTATTTGACGGTCAACTTGCGGCCATATTACAGCGCCATCTTACGGTCATCTTACGGCCATATTACTCGCCATCTTGTTGTCATGTTACGGCCGTATAATGCCAGCGCCACCTGACGGTTATTGCATAGACGTGGGGATAATAAAGATTATTATCTACGTCTTTTGTTGACTGATTGAACAAATACATCAATCACAAACTTGGTGCGTTATAAGTTAACACTTGTTCACTGTTACAGCGGCGCGATTTCGTTTTTTATATGCGTCCAAGACACTTCTATGAAACCGTTACAATTTAGCATGTATATTAAATATATACGTGAACGACGTGAAGTCTGTGTACCGACTGCTGCAAGGCTTTAGATACAAATGGGAATATAATGTTTGATCCATAATCACAATTCCAAAATTGCTATTATATACATATATAGATAGATATATTCCGCATCTATTGTAAAGAGACTTGTCAATGATTCCTAATTTCTATCGCGGACATGTTTTCACGCGCAACGAAGCACAGCTTGGGGCAGAAGTGCACTTTCGGTAAAATACTATAAATGTGACAATTTCAAAACCTCTTAGTTCTAAACCTCACATATAGGCCCCCTACATAGACACTCTTATTTTTATTTCAGGTTCATATTTAAGTCAAAACATATATATTATCGCTGTTGAAATGTAATGATCTGTGAATAAACTTATGGCAATACAAAAGAGTTGTTTCTTTTTTACCGCACTCTTAACCTGCAATTTTTCGGTCTACCTTTCCTGCAGTTTTTGACAAAAACTACCGCAAAGATTCACTCAAAATGTCTACTTGAGTCATCGTCAAAACATTATATACATCATTAATTGCGAGCAGCATGTCTGAGCATATATGGCCTGCCAGAGCAGCTCCATTTATTTAATACCATGCACTTGAATCTACAGACGAACTGACCAACTCTCTGGGGCCATGACCATGAACGACCCTCCCTCGCTTATATTTTGTTTACTTCTGCACGAAACGACCCTCGCAGTGAATTCGCATAATAATAATTACAGGCAATTAATTATTCACGCAATTATACCATTACCTAATACGGCGTTTTTGTGGACCAGGCAAAAACTTCACAAATAACCCGTTATCTAGTATCCACAGATAAGTACGTTATATGTACTATACATTTAACTCGTATACCAGCAGTTCATGAGTGAGGATGGCTCCACTGTTTTATACGCTATAGGTGGGTTATAATATGTGTCTTAAATTATTTACACCGGCTTCATTCAGACAACCCTAACCATTCCCGTACAATTGTATATGCTTTACAATATATATATATATCAGAAGTAGATAATAGGGTAATAATAGTTCCCTATTATCTACTCCGGATATATACATATCAGGGGTTAATAATAACAAATTTTGTTATTATTAACTCCAGATATATATATGTATATGGAATGGTTCGGGTTGTCTAAATGAAGCCAGTGTGAATAATTTAAAACACTTTCATTATTAACCGGCTATAACGTATAGAACCTTGGTTAAACATAATATTCGGTAGTTCACGAATACACGAAAACGTAAATATTATATTTACTTATTTTGCGATTACAATTGTCAAGAGAAGAACCCTGACCTTGTGATAGATTATAGGATATATGCTATAAACTTACTCGCCGAATGTAGAAATTTACATTTCTATTTTAGCATAGCTACAGTTTGGGAAAACATTTATTTATTATCATGGGCCGCACAAATGCTTATGGTGTATGGTATATAAATTTATTTTTCATCAACCATCTTGATTTCGATGTTTATATAACTTCTATTGAAATTTTGATCTACCATAGACAAAAATGTTAAGTTGTTAACCATGTAATGACAATGCAACTTAACTCGTGCGTATAATAAGTATACAGTGTAATACATCCCTAATATAAACAATATATTACATTTATTATTACACGTTGCATTATACCCCATTCACACCAGGGCCGCGATCTCACCACGCTCGTACTACGCTCTAATGGGAGGGGCACACGAGCGTATTTTATCGCCCGATCGCGGCGAATCGGCGAATCGCTCAAAAAATTCGCCCGTGTGCCCGAGACGTGGAAGGCGTAGTACCCACGTAACTCGAGCGTAGTACAAACTTAATGATCGTATCGCAAGCGTGTCGGGTGCGTGAAAATTGTCGCCCCGTTCTCAGCACGATGTCAATACGTTTTCATCACGCTGTTACTACGTCCATGGAGATATCTCTGCGACCTGACCACGCTCTCGCTATGACCATGGCGTGTCTCTATAGCAAGCTCGACCCGTTCGTACTACGATTGTACTACGCCAAACACGTCCCAGCTGGGCGCGCCGTTGTGGCGTTCGCATTACGTGTTAGTCACGCTCAGATCACGTCCTGCGAACTTGGGGTATAAATTGGGGTGCTACCCTGGCCGCGAAATTTTTTTTCCCAAACGGTATAACATAGCGAAGAATTTAGCGCCTTCTGATTGGCTGCTTCGATTTGCTTTGCCTTTGCCTTTTCGATTTAATTTCGCGGCCCGGCTGGGGCCCAATTGGCCACGCTATCAACCACGCTCACCACGCTCGGGCAAATTTTTGGAGCGTGGGGCGATCGTGATGAGAGTAGCTCTGGTGTGAATGGGCCTTTAGAGTATATGTTGCAGTTTCAGTCGTGTATGTGAAAGCAAAGATATATCATAGATATACACAACACGGCTTGTGTTGTGTACATCTATGGATATATGGAATAGACATCCCCAAAAGCGTATTAAGAGATATCTTTATATCTCTATTCTATATATTTGATGAAGTTCTGTTTGCTTAAATTTTCAACATCGTACACCAGATGGCGAAGTTAAGCAGACAACTGCTTACGCTCTGGTGCAACATCGCCGTGATATCAGGTTCAGCTTTCTGACTTTAATATATGAAAGTTTCTTGTTTACGAAGTTTGTTCCTACTTTTTGCAAATACAACCTGCGCAAAGGTCATGGAAATTTGGACAGCAATATGATAATCAACAATGTTTACCTAATAGGAAGCATAATGGATTATTACGTATAAGGTAAACAAAAGTGTCCGATCATTTTTTTACTACAACTTACAAGTTTCTGCGACAACTTTTTGTACATAGGCCTAGCCTTGATGCATGACCATGGTGTATGGTTTCAATATGATGTGTTATTTTGTTAATATGGCACGGTTTCACACTACTAAATTATTTATGGAAAATTTATTCACGCATTGTCGCGTAAGCAAATACTGTTCATATTTAATAACCGTCCCTTTCGCAGTGATGACTGATGTACTACATATATGATACAGTCTGTCACTTGTGACACCTGCAAGTCATTCAACATTAATCATTATGTCTATGGGTATGCTTATAAAATAACTGATCAGTAATGATGAATAAGTGGCAGCAGAAGTTGGTACTCATCACATTCAAATCACATTACTTTTCAGGACACACCTTAGTGTTGTTCTAGTTCATTAATTTTTTCAAATGTGGATTACATTTTATGAATATTGCTAAGTATACATCTTAATAGAGAATTGTTATCCACCATATACTCTGCTTATATACTATTAGCTCCAAGAAACGGTATTGCTAGGGTTAGAATACCGTTTCAAATTCTTGCCCACAATTCCTTGTAGTTGGCTCGGTATCCAACCATCGACACAGCTAGCGTCACATGTAATAGCTCAAACGAATCTATAAACTTCTGGCTTGCTCGCGGTAACTGGGCGCTACTGGGCGCTACTTGTTTATTGAGTTATGCCGTTTTTCTGAGATGAATTGGATCAAAACAACCAGACAGCCGCCATGTCTGCCATGTTCAGTGCAACTAAAATCAGCAATGGACCTGATTTTCACAGTGCGTAGGCCTAAATACAACGCAAGTACATATCTTCGCAATGATAATTATTAAGTTGTTGTAGATTGACGTTTCCTGGTTTTCAATGTTTTAATATTTATATATATACGAGTATATGATGCTTATTTATGCTCGCGCCAACGCAAGTTGCAACGTTATGGTATGTTATGTCGTTTCGGGTTTTCCTGGACCGAATAATTCTGTCCCATATAACCTTTTTTATATTTTGGTGAGGGTTATTGGGACAGAACGGGGTTCATTGAAATTTCGTGAGATTGCATGTAAAATGCATGCGCTGCGAATGCGGCCCGTACGCCGCTATTGGCGCGAAAAAAAACCTACCGTTCCCTTCTACATGGCTTTACCTTGCTACTGATATGTGTAGACAATCACTTCAATCGTTATTAACTTCTTAAAAGATTGTTTTTCAGAAACCCCGCTTCATTTAACTTTAGTAAATTACGTTGGCCATTTACAAACAATCAGACCAATCAGAGCGAGTCTTACAATAGCCCCTGGTTCTCGCTTGTATCTGTGGCGCTGCAATAGGCCTGATAGACTCGCTCTGATTGGTCTGATTGTTTGTAAATGGCCAACGTAATTTACTAAAGTTAAATGAAGTGGGGTTTCTGAAAAACAATCTTTTAAGAAGTGAATAACGATTGAAGTGAATGTATACACATATCAGTAGCAAGGTAAAGCCATGTAGAAGGGAA